TATACTTTTATTTGGTTATCATTGAATTTTTTAAATTATTGCTTTTTCAGTTTTAAATTCTAACCAGTTATTATTATTATTACCTCATACAAGTTTTCTTGTTTATTATTCAGTTTATTATTATGGCCTTTTTGCTTGTCGTTTTTCTTCATATCTGTCAATTGGACTATTATCTGAGGAATAAATTATTTTCATCCTTACCCCTTGATTATTACGTAATCTCATTTGTTATTTAGTCTCGAGTCCATTTTTGTGACGTTATCTTTCATATCGTCCTATAGACATACATTTTCAATAGTAAAAATCATGAGTCAATTGAAGCTAGACCATCATGGAAAACCTGGAAGCATCAGAGAGAGGTTTCTTCCTATTGCGGGACTCTTCAGAAGTGCGCACCCACGATCCCCCCTCGTTAGATTAGAACCTAGTACCTATCAGTCCCGCGTGCGAGCGCTTAACCAATGAACTAATGAGCTGGCTGACATCCAACGGTGATAATGTCTAACTTCCATGGTGGTCTAGCCTCAACTAACTAATGAGTTCAACTATTGAAATTACTAAAATCTCCACAAAACCCCTTCTGACATATATTTTCCATATAATTATAAATACGAATGTGTAGCTTAAGTAAATGATTACGTCGAAAAGAAAATTTTCTTCGATGAATTTTCTTCTTCTTATAATTTTATATACAATATAGAATTTAATTCATGAAGTAAAATTCCTTTTATTTTCAGAATAATAAGTAAGAAATTAAAAGATTACTATCACAAATTCAATATACTTACTATAAAACATGAGAACAGTCACCCATTCTATATGTCTTAACTTTTAAATAAATACAAATAAGACAGAATAACCACATAGTGTTTCTTAATTTCTATTAATCCTCAAGTATCTTTCATTAGTTGAGATCATGAGTTAATTGAATCTATGCCATCATGGAAGACCTGGAAGCACTGAACGGCCGTTTCGTCCTATCGCGGGACTCCTCAGAGGTGCGCATCCATGGCCTCGCTTCGCGGGACTCGAACCCCGACCCTATCGGTCTTGCACGCGAACACTTAACCATTAGACCACTGAGCCGGCATCTTATTCAAGTATCTCTCAGCAGCTAATTTCAGTTTAATCATAATTGGCTTGGAAAAGAGTTGCTTACATCCTGAATAAATTAACAGTGTTAAAATCGGTCGATGTTTCAATTAAACTTATATAAAGTAAATTATTTTATTGTCATATGTTTTACTTCATTGGTTAATGGTATGTTTTAATTTATTATTCGTCTGATTAGCACTATTTTGTTCAGTTCAGTAAGTTAAAATGTCTAGTTGTTGTATTTCAGAAAAAAACAAACATAAAACTTCTTTGAATTTATTCGATTGATCCGACTGTGTGAAAGAATGAAAATCAATTTATATCAAAATGAGCTGAAAAATAGTTCTATTAATCTATTACTTAGTTTCTAACATGCGTCTATTGATAGACTTTCATTGAACACTTTCAGTGTTATCAAATGTTATTTCAAAACACTTATTTTTCGGAACCGTAACATCTTGATCATCATAATGTTTGTTTATGAGAAATTTAGTGAAAACTGTAGACGCAACAGTTTACGAAGTCTTTAACTGTTAGTCTGAACTCTATTGTAGATGCAGACTATGCAATTAAGGTCTAGATGATAATCCATATCGGCAGTTTAAGATGTAGGGTGATACATAAGAATCAGAAAAAGTGAAACAGATATATTTATTTATTATCTTATTATGGATCTTAAGTTTCAGTCCAGTATTCTTTCACACATATATTTTTGTCTAGACTTCTTGAACAATATTCTGGATATTCAATCTTTCCCACTGCTATTGCTATTTCATCATCATAGTAATTTTATTACATCATATTGATGTGATCTAGTAACTTTGGGTAATACATATTTAAATCAGCTCATTATGATTGAATAAATGACTGACACTGTAAGCGAAACTGGTATGTAATGGGAAATACTTATCCATTATTTCAATTAAATTAATTCACAACAATTGCTTGTTATTTTGCACACAGAAATTCAAATTATTTTGAATCTCCATAATGCTGAGGAGTTGTAAGTTTTGAACTATATCAATATAATTTATTTGACTGAAATTAATTTCTAGGAATACGAAAATCACCTTGTTGAAAAATGAAAAAATATTAGACATTGATGTATATTGTCATCACGTTAGTTACTGTCGTAAACAAGAAATAAACTTTAACTCTAATTCAGTTTGAAATTTCAGTGCATGTATCTTACATTAAATGAACAGCTAGAATGCAGCTGGACAATCTAAATTTCTCAGATGATCTGGCTCTTCTATAGCACACGCAACAACAAATACAGAAGACGACCAGTTTAGCAGCAGTCTCAGCAGCAGTAGGTTTCAACATACACAAAGAGAAAAGCAAGATTCTACGATACAACAAAACATGCACCAATCAAATCACAATTGACGGAAAAGCTTTTGAGAATGTAAAAACCTTTACATATCTGGGAAGCATCATTGATGAACACGGTGGATCTGATGCAGATGTAAAGGCGCGGATCGGCGAAGCAAGAGCAGCATATTTACAGATGAAGAACATCTGGAACTCAAAACAACTGTCCGTCAACCAACACCAAGGTCAGAATTTTCAAAACAAGTGTCAATATAGTTCTACTGTATAGGGCGGAAACTTGGAGAACTACGAAAACCATCATCTAGAAGATACAAGTGTTTATTAACAGTGGTCTACGCAAAATACTTCAGATCCGTTGACCATACACTATCAGCAACAGCCTACTATAGGAGAGAACAAACCAGATCCCAGTGGAGGAAGAAATCAGGAAAAAGCGCTGGAAGTAGATAGGACACACATCGAGGACAGCACCCAACTGTGTCACAAGGCAAGCCCTCACATAGAGTCCTCAAGACCAAAGAAGAACACACTACGCCGAGAAACGGAGATAGACATAAGAAAAATAAACAACAACTGAATAGAACTGGAAAGGAAGGCGGAGGACAAAGTGAGACGAAGAATGCTTTTCGGCGGTCCGTACTCCATTGGGGGTAACGGACATAAGTAAGTAATCTTACATTAAATATAAATGAATGGGAACTTGTTTGATTTTTCGAAACATTTGATGTATTTTGAAACGAAAGATAAACCTGTTCATTTTTAATAAGCAATAAATTCAAACTACTAGCTTTCCTAAATTTTTGTTAATTTTCTTCATAACTCTATATTGATATTTTGTTTTCTACAAGTTGATTGATTCACATTATAGTAAATGAATGAATATGTATCTTATTCATAGAAGAGATTTATGATGAAATAATAACAATCATTTTTTCACCTACTACTTACTATTATTACTATTAAAAGTGTTCTAATATTTTATGCCTATACTACACTTGTTGTTTATTTACGTAACATTCTAAAACATATCTGGATTTGGATTAATTTGATTTTGAAGAAATTATACCTCAACTCTAACAAAATAGTATGTCAGTTTACAATGATGGTTGTTTTGATAATATAGTTAGCTGTGAAAATACTAATATTATAGGCTTAAAGTAAATGGATTGAACATTGATATTTCTAAACAATAATTTCCATGTTAAGTTGCATCGTAGCAATAGTATATATATATATATATATATATATATATATATATATATATATATATATATATAGCGTGTGCGAATTCCATTCAAATGTCAAGTCTTCATCAACAGGATTTGAAAAACAATGTATACAGTGTAGAAGTTTCATATTTCTAGTTCATTTTCTTTTAATGTTTGTACAGCGTATTCTAACAAGTATGCTATTTCACTTGAATAATTTGATATTATAAGTATTAATTAGAAGAGATTAAAGTAATAATAACGTTTGAAGTTCAATTTTCTACACATTTTCGTTAATTTTAATGTTAAGTTCGATTCCCAGTGTGAACATCAACTCTGGGTTACAGTTACGTCCAGCAGACGAATCCTAAATAGGACGAAACTCGCCTCCTGGATTCTACTGCTAACCACCATCTATCTCTTATAATTAATTTACACCATGCAAAGTCTAATTAAGTTTTGAGTTATTGTTTCTATGAAACAGTTGATATAATGTTCGTGAGTTGAAGTATCTTCCGGCAACAAGTTTCGTCACAGTACGAATCAAATGTAATATGGTATTTTCTTGGATTCTACCGACCCGTACATGGAAATATTGTTATCGAAAACGTTTCTTAGTCAAAATCGGGATTCCAAATATTAATATTTAACCAATTTTACCAAGTAGATGTCAACTTTTTTTCAAGACATTTTCGTGAAAATCAGTAATATTTTGGGTGTTAACATATCCAAGTTGTAGTTGGTTGATTACTGAATAGTGGCTATTATCACGTTTATTTAGTCCTTCAGGTTCCGATTAATTTCTATCGATCAGGCTGCCATGTGGTCAACAGTCTAAGTGACTCGACATCGGAGCATCAGTTTCTCGATGTTTACAGGAGCCCATTGACAATTAGTGCTAAGTAACACGAAACTAAGATCCACGTTTTCATTAGATTACTCCTGACCACATAGCATATCTAAATTATCATTGAGTATTTCTCTTTTCTTCCTCAACACCACCTAAATGATGTAACTTGGGAGTTCTTTTGTTATAGTCTCATAAACATTACATTAGAAAGGAATAAAGTCTATCTCAATATGATCCACGTTTAAAATCATTTGCTATATTTATAACACATTAACTATGAAAGTGATTTCGCACTAAAAGCGTAACAATTGATTGAGTATTTAATGAAATATATAGTTGGAAATTAGATTCCTACAGATAACTTTTCACATCCAACAAATCTCGTTCACCACGATTAGTTACGTTGAATGTACTACTAAACTGAAATAACGATAGCATTACATTTTGTATTAAAAAAAAACAATAATGTTACCAGTAAAATTACTTGAAAATAATAATGAATATCAGCTTACGGTTTTCCATCCATAGGTCAATATTCGATCGATTATTAACCGTTTTATTAATAATATTGTGATCTTTTTTACAATCCTGTTTATCTGATGTTAGATTTTCAGAACGATTACCAATCCATTGACGTGCACTTAACCCACGTCTATGTATTAAACATATGACCAACAAAATTGTTGCCATCAATAATATACTAAATATCACAACCAAACAAACAACAACAATTTCATTTCGTCGTCCATTTTGTACAGCCATAACAGAGCCAACAGTTAATTCATCTAAATCAAATGATAAATCTGATTGTCTATGATTTTGATGAAAATTATCATTGTTCGCTGCTGTTCCAGTTTGATAAACAAGTAGATCACCATTTGAATTTGATATTGGTTCGTTTAAACCATCAAATACGTTTATACGTATAGTTGGAGATAATGTACAGCGTTTAGATGAACCAGCTCCACCGTCACAAGCTTCAACGACAAATCGATGTGTAGTTGTATTGTTCAAAGGTCTTTGGAATAAAAATGATCAAGTTGAAAATATAAAACTAATTACTTCTGATCTCATCATCTGGAGAAAGTTTAATATTTACTACATTTAAATAGCATGTGTGTGCAGAGGCTGGTACATAGGGAGGAGCAATCGTGGGGAGCAAGTATAGGTGGCTGAACATGTACCTAAATGACTACGAAAACAAACGAATTCTAATGGTCAAATAAGATCATGGGATAGATAAATATCTTCTTCCATTGTGAAACATTTGTTTGGGACCAGTCATAAGGTTGATATCAAGTCAGCGTTTGCAGTTTTGTACAAAATCTTTCAAAGGTTTATTGAAGCCTTGGGTATACGAAAACTGAAACACCATTCATGTGTTCAAAAATAAATTGTTCTTATACTTAACCTACCCTAGTAATACCGACTTATTATTCAGCGTAGTTTTCACATTGTTTTTGTGTATATTTTTATTATTTATGATTCTGCTTACCCATTAATTTGTCTAGTTGACCTTTTATTTTTCAAATAAAATGTCTTGACAAGTATATGTGTTCAGATTGTTCGAAATGTACTGCGTAAATAGATCACATAACTCTGATAACCTTCATCTTCTCATTGCATTAACGAAATTTATCAGAGTTGGTAAGTGTTTTAAATAGCATCAGCCAGTTTGTATCAATCATATATCAAATACTCACTTCTACGAGTGACCAGTATTTAAGAAACTGACTTCAACACTAAATTACATTAAGACAGTCTGATCATTTTTATTAAATGTTAGTTTTCTTTCGCCTCCAAACTGTACTTTTAGTACCATCCAGTACTTCACTAGTTCGATAAACGAGTTTTATATGGTGATGTACTCTATAAATGTAGTGTTGTTGTCGTTTAAACTAGTGTATTCTTTATTTTGGAAGTTTTTTTTAAATCTTAACAGTTTTTTACCACTTCTCATTTTAACTACTATTAAGTCATTCATATAATTATCCAATTTGATTGCTTGTTGAAACTAGCTAAATTGGAGCATTAAGGCATACTGATGCTATCGGTATCTTTATATGGAACAATCGACTGATACCGATTGTCTTAACTTCTAATTCGGAACAAAGAACATTCCCTAAATTAATGAGTTGATTCTATTCCAAACTTCATCTCGTTACCAAGTAAAAACCATGAAATAATTTATGATTTAAACAATTTGACACCATATCAACAAAGGTAGTGATAATATCGTCCAGTGTCTAAGTCTTTCTCTTGAATAACATTTGAATCCATGTTAATGAACAATAACTTGAACAATTATTAAACCCATAGAATAACTACTACGGCACTAAAAGTAAAGTAGTATCCCTGACAGATATTACTGAAACAAACATTGAAAATTACCTAATATCTAACGGCAAATCAATTAATGTTTTAAATATTTGACGTTAACAATTAATGATTTGGCAGTGCATAAAACTAAATGCTGTAATTTATAACCCGTAATTTAGTTAATAGAACCTTATCACTTTAATCAATAAAGTTTAACGTGATTATAAGGTTTGTGATTTTTGTAATTTGCTAGCTTCCCACTTCTATAGAGACTTTCTTACAATTCTGAAATTAACATTAGTTTTCATTGTGTTTAAATTGAGAAACTGGCTACAAATATAAGCATGTTCACTTGTATGATTGACTGTTGGCCAGTAAATATTTTAAGATCTTGACAAGACATTATTTATACTTAATAAGATTTGACATCAACTCAAATATAGGCTAAGCCAATAAACGTTACTATACCTGGCTATGAATAACATTCCACTTGATTCATCAATAGCAAAATGTCCAGTTCCTGAGCCACCAGGCGGTCGTGGGACTTCTGATCGTATTTGATAAGTGATTCGAGCATTTTCTCCTTCATCTGCATCAGTTGCCTCCATTGTAAGCAATTGTCTGCCTAGTGTTTCATGTAAACTAAGCTGAATAGCAGTTGATGTATTTGGTCGACGAAATACTGGAGGATTGTCATTAATATCGGTAACAGCAATTACAACTGTAGCAGTAGATGACAACGATTTATGTACAGGTGTGTCATATGCATTTTTTAATGTGAAATTATTATTACCATTATTCAACTTTGATGTAGACATCATACTATTTATCTGACGCAATGATATAATCGGTGAAACTGGAGCAGAATCAATGGCAACAATCTCTATGGTAAAAAATGCTACCGATTCACGATCCAATGCACGTATAAGACGTATTTTACCAGTTAAACGATCAACTGCAAAATAATTTAACAAAGTTAGCGATTTATCAGAATGTGAATAATTTATTTGTTTAACTGGTCTTATGTCATTTCTTGACAGTTCATTTGTTAAGTTTGAAAAAGTTGTCTTTTTTAATCCATTTTGTTGTGTACTTGGATCCATTATTTCAAGAGACTGTTTACCTGTTTTATTCAACTGCTTATCTCTAGTCAGTTCACTATTTGAAGTACTATTTGACTCAGTGTTTTCTACTGTTGGTGATATTCTATCATTTACAATTAATTTATTTCCAGGTGCACGTGAATGTAATCTACGCGAATTATATTGGTTCGATGATGGTGATGCCCAGTCAGATATTTCATTTACCGGTTGATATGAATGTGTAATCAACTGATAAGTTATTTTCCCTTTACTATCTGCATCACGATCTATAGCTTCAACCTCACCAACTATTTCATGAATTCTCATATTCTCTGGTACACTGAATGTGTACACTTCACGTGTGAATTGTGGAGGCCAGTCGTTTTCGTCTAAAATAAAAACTTCAACTTGAGCTGTTCCAGTTAATGATGGTTCACCATTATCAATACATAATACCTTTAATCGATATACTCCATCATTTGGTGCTGTTTCTCGATCAAATACAATTTTAACATATAAATCACCTGTTTGTGGATTTAATTCAAACATATTATTAATGTTATGAGTAATCTGTGGGATATTGTCATTATCAGTAATACCATACTCTTTATTTTCGTATCTATTTACCATATTTTCATCATTTTCTAAACGATAAGTAAGTAAAGAATTTACACCTTGATCACTATCCACTGCAATTGTACGTCCAAGCCAAATTGGTTTATTACCAGGTAATTCTTGATTTTCAGGTATTTGAAATACAAAGTGACCATTATTTACAAATTCTGGTGAATTATCATTCAAATCAGCTAAGTGTACATTAATTATTACATAAGCAGAATTATCTACACTATCTGTACATGTTAAAGTGATTGTTTGTGTTGGAGTTACTTCACGATCTAAACGTGAATATGGAGATGATAGATCTGTTAACCGTGTTCCAGTTATTAAACGATAATCTTGTTTATTTTGTACAGTATTTGTTAGTGATCGTTGTAATGAGTTTTCATATAAAGGATTACGTTTTGTAAGATATAACAATGAATTGCTCCCTGTTGAAGTCAACGTTGATGATACTGATGACAATGATGTTGGTGATGATGATGGATCGTACTGTAACGTGAAGTTGTCTGTCGGACCCAGACGACAGTGAATATGATCTTGTCCATGATGATCCGGGTCAAATACCTAAAAATTAAGATAAAATATAGGCACCACTATTCATGACAATAAATAATGTCATCATCAAAAATCTACTCAACATTATGTATATATTTTTTCAGGATCAAAAGGGTTTGACTATCACTAATGGGAAGATGATAATCAAAGTAACATTAATTTATAAAAAAACATTCAAAAAAAATTTACGATTTCACTGTATTATAAACCTAGTGACCTATTACTTAGAATCCACAAAAATTCCTGATATTAATCAATATATTCTCAACAGTGACTGGCTTCAAGAGGTATATCCTGGAGTTCTAACGAGAAGCAGTGACTAATGATGTTCAGTGGGGTCTGTTGTGAGGTAGTAACTCACTGAAGACAATGGTGGATAGGTCGCTTAATTTCGTGGATTAGTTGAAGTTAGACATTAACACCGTTAGATACCGGCCAGCTCTGGTGGTCTGGTGGTTAAGCGCTCGCGTGCGAGATTGATAGGTCCTGGGTTCGAATCTCGCAAGGCGGAATCGTGAATGCGCACCGCTGAAGAGTCCCACAATAAGACTAAACAGCCTTCCAGTGCTTCCAGGTTTTCCATGATGGTCTAGCTTCAATTGATTCATGATATCAACTACTGAAATTAGTACAATACCCACAAAAATCCCTTCTGATTATATTATGTTCGTCAAATATCATTCATTCTCTTGAATTCGATTTCGAATCAAAATTTCAATTAGTTGTCTACTTCACAGTACAAAATTTAATAATAATTAATTGAAAGCAAAAACAAAATTATTCTCTCTTAACAAATAAAATTCATTAATTATTCTTTCTTTATACTTTTACATTTTAATTAGCAAGTAAACATTCTAGTCTGAAACAGACTAGAAATTCAAAAGCAACATTCAGTAACATACTTTAAAATTTAAACAGTATTACAATAGTCTCAAGGTATTGAACATTGAACATATTGGAAACAAAACATAGAAGTGAAGGTTTATAGCCCAGACGAATGATTTTTGATTTCCTAAGCTGAATGGTTCAATAGAGAGAATAAAACTCAGCCAAATATATAGAAGTATTCTAGAGTTTAAAATGACTGTGTGATTCTAACACGATTATAAATCTATCTTGATTGGAAAGGATACTGAATTATATGGTAAAAACTAGACATTGTATTATAAATCTATGATTATAGTGTGTAAACTGAAAGAAAACACACCAAGTAAAGTAATCAAGTGATCGAATCATATTCGCCTAGTTTCTGGGTCTTTAAATCTAACCATGTTCGTTGATATTCAGAGTCGTTCGGTATACTGACAAAGGTTTGTAGAACTCATGATAATAAGTTATTAATCATCATAACGTCTATTAATCCAACTTATTGCCTTCGAAATAACTAATCATTAAACTCATTAGTTTTTAAAAAGTAATGATAATATCGATCATAAATCTTATTTAAATAAGCGCAACATAATAGTAATGAAAATAAATACCTGAACATAAGCAATCACTGTTTCCGGTTGAGGATTCTCATTTATCGTTGTTGTAAATTCACGTAACAATTTCGCACCATCTGAGTTTTGTTTAATTTTATTCGAATGAAATGGATAGGGATTTGACGGAGAAGTATCATGAGGAGAATTTGGCTGTAACAGCATAACATTTATCTGTGGAGTTTCATCATTTTCATCAGCAAGCATTATTTCAACAACAGCTGTACCCGTTAATGTGTATGGTTCTGGTGCACTGTCCTTAGCTATTACCTGTATGTATAAATCAAGGCATAAATGAAAGGAAAGGTGTAAATTCTGACTAAAGCCATAAAAAAAACATTGGTGAAACACAGATGACTTTAATTAGTAGTTTATCTTCAGTTATCAAAGCTGAGTTATGAAAATAGTTTTCATTTCCTTTAGTTTTTGTACAGAGTAATTAATTAATAAAAGAATAAGGGTACAATCGATAGAAGTTTCTTTCAGTTGGGTGATTTGTGGAGAATAATTTGTCCTAGGATATGACTGCGGATATACACTGCTGACGGATTGCAGATTAGAATAAAATAACTCTGAAATGCTTCCCACTTTTAATTACTGTCCAAATGACATCACTAACATCGTACTATTTGGACGCAATAAAAATAATTGTATTCATGTTTTCCATAAATTTAAACTTTAACTCGTTTCACTGTCTAATCAATGACAGTTCATAGGTTTAAAGACTGTTATTTTTTGTCTAATGAACTAGTACTTCAAAACATTCACCAGTAAATACGTTTATTAGAACATCAAATGGTTTATAATTTATGAGGTTTATCTAAAAACTCATACATTTGTTACCTTTTCTTTCGTGGTTTATAACACGAACTGACTTTAATTACACAATTTTCGGAAACCAGGAATCAATTAACAAATATTTTATGTTAGTGCTATTTCGTTATAATGCGGGACTCCTGAGCAGCGTGAATTCATGTTAGATCGTGAGTCAAACTCAGAGCCTTCAGTTCTCGTGGTTAAAGCCTTACTCCCAGACTGATGATTGTCATCTAATATGTCACATTTCTAGACTCAGTCAATAATATACAAAAACCTCTCATACCAGTGTCGTTTTTCTTTCCTGAACTTAAACATTTCTGTCATTTAAGTGAAATTCATCAGTTATGATTGGATCATATAGGACTGTCACAAAACTACTTGATTATTTATTTCATTTATTATGGCTATGAAAATAAAACATCTACTCGAAAATGTCTTCTTTAATTTGTGGCCTATTACATCTGCTTTATACTCTAATAAAACCAAAAGTACTTAAATCAATTACATTTGTATTATATTAACTGATAATGACTAGAAAGGATTGAAATATTAAATGTATCTTGTAAAAGAAACTATAAAACGAGACACACTTATTTAAAATAGATGGATCATAACTAGTATCATAATACATAAATCACATTTCATCCTAATTTGAACTCAACAGGGTTCAATATGTCTGCTTCTCAGTATCGATATTCGCACTGAGACTCGAATCCAGTACTTGTTGATCAGACGCTAGATGCATAATACACTGAGCTACAAGGCCTAGATAGCCATTAACTTTTTCAACAAATGAGATGTGTATATTATTATCGGTGAGTGTTCGAGTTGTCCCACGAGCTATAGTCCTAGTGTATGAAATTCAGTGGTAAAAAAGTCATGTATGTTTACCCCCTTGTAAAATTACCTAGTGTAATATGATGGAATATTTTTAAAAAATTAGTAGATTTGAGCCATAAAATAAATTAATAGGTACTAATTCTATCAATAAATAGATGAAGTAATGCGTGTTTCAATCGGTTAATTCAGACCTTCAAATTGTCATGAGTACATTTATTACATCCCAAAAAATTAAGTAGGTCAGTCATTCTTATCAATAACTGTAGTTCTATTGTGCTTTTAATCGGTTCGAACATATGATAATTTTATTTTGAATACTTAAGCATAATACTAATGTATTAGTTCTAGTGTCTGGTAGATGACCTACGAAATATCAATTTTCCTGTTTAGTCATTCTGCCTTTCAATTTGTGCTTATTAAAGAGCGTTTATTGTTTTCTGGTTAGCGTTTTTTTAGCGAGTTAGTTTTCTACTAAATGGGGTCGCTAACCCAATGCACAACCCTCCTTCTTTATCGGGGCTTGGGACTGGCAGTAGCCCAAGAGGGGCTCTAAGCGGAGTTGTCTTCGCAAAATACTTCAGATCTATTGGTTAGACATCACCATTATATTTACTTTATATGAAAATATTCTTGATAAACATTCTCTTTATTTTTAATGTAAATGAATAACTTCAAGCTTAACAGTTGAATTCAATTAAGCAACATCTTTCTTTCATAGAACTTCAATTTAACTAAGATAATATTTGTTTAGGGGTTGTGGAGATTGTTAGGTTTTTGATTGAGAACATGAACCGACTGATGTTAGACCACCATTGAAAACCTGAAAGGTTAGACATTAACACCATTGGATGCCAGCTCAGTGGTCTGGTAGGTTAAGCGTTCGCGCGCGAGACTGAAGGCCCTGGGTTCGGATCCCGTGAGCAGGATCGTGGATGCGCACTGATGAGGAGTCCCACAATGGGACGAAACGGCCGTCCAGTGCTCCCAGGTTATCAATGGTGTCCTAACATTAATCGGTTCATGATCTCAATAAGATAATATTTAATATCTATTTTCCTGTACTATTATTCTTTACATCATCATTACCATTTATCAAGCTTAATTAAGAAAAATATTCATTAAATATGTAAAACTTATTATTAATTCAAAGATATATAACATGATTAGATCTAATAGTTCTGAGTTGAAAACTGTTAACTTTGAATATCGACTCATGATCTCAACTATAATATCCACAAAACCCCTTCTGGTATTAATAGATATATCAAATGTACTTCTTATCCATCTGATAAGTATAAGATTGTAAAACATAAAGTCAATGCTAAGTTTATAGAAATATTCGTCATGATTAGAACGAATAGTTGGACAGGAATTGAGTGCCGAATATAGAGAAGTCAATATATGTGAAAATTATATTTGAACTAATCTCATCGATTGAAATTTAAAATAATTCCAACGTTTCGTTCAGTTAACTTGTCTGAATTTCTTCAGGGTAATAATCAAAATGAAAATCATCAAAGAAATATATAGCTTTTAACAATCATAACTATACTGTGTTAATCCAATCATATTTGGATATTGATTTTTGTAAAATAAGATAACATGAGTCTATCTGGCAAATATTTGTTGACAAGGTATTTAGAACCTTTATTTATTCAACCTGTGTTATTTCATATGCATCGTTATTTTGACTGAAATTCATGAGTTTTTTTTATGTAATACAATTATGTATTTGATGATTTGCAAATTGACATGCACACCGATGATTCAGTACCAATTTTTCAACTTTGAACTTGTACTTTTATTTACTCCTTAATATAAAACGTATTAACACCAAATATCAATAATTAATAACTTAATCTTACATATACATACATACTTTCACACATACACATACATACAATTCGTTTTTTAGTTCATTATATCGACGTCGTGAACTTTTCACATGATTACCATGTAACTGACTCATGTTATCCTATTTTACAAAAATGATTGATTGTTACCCTGAAGAAGTCCAGATAAGTTAACTAGACGAAACGTTGGAACTATTTAAATTTGAATGAGTGACATTAATCCAAATATAATTTTCACAAATTAAGGCTAAATTGTCTTTAAATTTGTAAACATACCACAGAAAGCTTTCCTTCTAATGTACATCAAGTGAAACTTAATAATTCATATTTATTTAAAATAGTTTACAATGTATCTACTTGTTTTATTATTAAAACTACTCAATAATTTTACTGTTTTTCGGTAATGTAAGAAACCTTATTATATATATATATGGTTTCCTTTTCATTGAACTACTTCATATTCTATTATAAGTAGTATGATTCAATTTATTCATATACTTATCTATACACTAAAAATATATAAACTAATAAGCGGAAATGAATAACAATATACAGTGACCAGAAATAATTATGTTTATCTTAACTACAGTTTAATCAGTTCCACTCCCCCACCCACATTGTAAGTGACTAACTAGTTTGACTTAGAAAATTAACTTTGAAGTGACTTATTAACTATGTCACATTTCATTAACATTTCTAGATTATTATTGCTACTTTAATTAGCTTATTATTGAAGTGTTTCAATGAAATCTATCGTAAATATTAATTTTCCTAGATGTATGCTTAACCGTTGTCTTGTATATGGATTATTTCATAATTATATTCAGTATAATTCAATATTTATTCAATTAGAAAAGAGTTTCCATCATTGATTAACATGGAATAGAAGTTTAGTAAAATCACTAGGTAGGTTTTATGAACTCAGTTTTTTTATTATTTTTTATTTTTTATTACTTAACAGTATATACTCAATAATCGATATTAGTACATTCAAATATTGTATTATGCAATAGATCACTAGCTTATTGGATTGGAAACTAATTATATGTATCTATGTACCTTTGTATTTTAGGGTCGACAAATTGAGATTATTATTCCATATTATTATGAGATCTGTTTTTTTATCATCGAAAATATTAACAATTCACTTTATTTAAGCACAACTTTTTGAAATTTCATTTTAAAGTTAATTATTAATGAATATTAACTCATTATTTATTTAATTGATTCTTTGGAGGTTTTGTTATTAGTTATTAACTCATATCAAGAAGTGACAGTCCATAGAAAACTATTAGAAATGATGACACATTTGATAGATTTTTTGTTTTAAATCATGACTTTACACCCATGACAAAGTATAAGTTTTAAAGTGTCAACATCAAGTCCTGTTATGACCAGTATTAATTATCAAATATAAGTAATTAGATTTACGTTTTTGTTTCTTAGCAAAATGATTTATAATCAGCGAAAGGTTTTTGTGGATATTAAAACAAATTAATCGTTACGATTATGAGTCAACTGAAGCTAGATCACCATGGAAAACCTGGAAGCACTTGACGTCCTTTTTGTCGTTGGCGCAAATTCGTGAATTGGTTGAAGTTAGACATTAAGACTATTTGATGCCGGCCAGTCTATTGGTCCAGTAGTTGGGCGCTCGCGCTCGAAACTGATAAGTCCTGGGTTCGAATTTCATGAGGCGGGATCATGGAAACGTACTGCTGAGGAGTAACATAATAGGAAGGAACCTTTGTCTAGTGC